CAGCTGTCACACAGCTCGCCTATGTGTGATGTCACCATCAGGAGAGTGGCCTCATCATCATCATCAGCCTGCGCCAGATGAGCTTCAGCCTTTTTCTCTTACTTGCGATTTGGGCACTCCTTTACCCAATGACCTGTCTTCCCACAACGTAGGCAGACATTGGGGTCGACCTTCTTCTTCTTCTCTGAAGAAGCCTTGCCAGGTGCTTGCCATCGCTGTTGCGGCTAGAGGAGGCTTCCTCGGAGTTCCTCCAGGCAGCCCACTCCTCTGTCAGCAGTAGCTTGCCGCTTGAAAGCTCTAGTTTGGTTTTGGTGAATTGGTGAAACCCTAAGTGCTAACCTAGTTTATCAAAGTGATCATGAGATAGGTAGCACATTCCAAGTGGTGAAGCAAATGAAGATCATCACATGATGATGGTGATGCCATGGTGATGATCAAGTGCTTGGACTTAGAAAAGAAGAAAGAGAAAAACAAAAGGCTCAAGGCAAAGGTATAAGTGGTAGGAGCCATTTTGTTTCGGTGACCAAGACACTTAGCGAGTGTGATCACGTTTAGGTTTGATAGCCGTACTATTAAGAGGGGTAAAACTCCCATGGCACTATCATTTTTGCATTCACTAAAAATACATATATGAATTTTGATATGTTGACGTGTTACGCATTTTGATATATTGACTTTAGTGATATGAATTTTGATATATAAGGTTTATTGATGCGAATTTTGATATATATTGACTTTAGTGTTATGCATTTTGATATATTGACTTTAGTGATATGCATTTTCGTGTATGAAAAATATTATCTCTAGGGATATGGTTTTTGATATATTGACTTTAGTGAGAAGAGATGGTTGGACATAGACGTCGTCTCCCTCCGCCGGAAGTCATAGGTTTCAACGGCTATGTAACGTGGATGGAATTCGATCCAGTGTTGCCGGATGTACCGTTTAATCATCCAAGCATAGTAAGCAACTCTATATGTTTCCAATAAATTAATGTGTCAAATACGCTTGTATAAATATATTTTTTGATATGTATATATACGTGATTCTTAAATGTACCGTAGGTAATTGACCCAATCATTTGGCTTAAAGAGACACTATCAAATTTTGGGGTTCAGGAAGTGGTTGTTCAGACCTTTCATGTAGATAATGGTCCATTAATCCAATGTCAAATTGACTTTACCATCGCTGCTAGGATGGGTAGAGGTGTTGTACAAATCTCAGAGATGGGAATAAAGGCACCCCAGCAGACTGTTGCACAAAAATATGATGTCATTGCATGTGTAACTAAGCTTGCGAATATTGGGTAGACCTTGCCTACACTATCCTCCGTGCTGATACAAGCTATAAATGTGGACACGCGTCATGATGTTGAGGGCTTTTGTGCAAGCATTGCTTTAATAACCGAAATGATGTGATAAAGTCAAAGTCAAACTCATACCTTATATCTAGATTTGTTGCTATATGTTGCAAAGCTTGGTTCTCATAACCTTTTTTTCTGCCAACACTTACAGGTTGAGGACTATGACTTAACCTATAAAGGGTGGAGTTTTGAAGCCATTCTAAACCAAACAATGTATCAATTGGGTTATGATTGGAAATATGCTCATGAATGACCAACACTCACTATGGAAGGATTTCAGGCAAAGCTGTTTGTGACTAAGAGGGGAGACCCATCGACTTCTCGAGCACCGTTAAACGTCGTTAGTAGACCTTGTGCTTGTAGTTGTGAAGCAAGGGAGAGTACACTAGTTAATGCATTGGTCTTCATCAATAATATTTTTGGATACCACATTGGTGACCTACACTTCACCGAATTAAAAATACGAGAAAGTCAACTTCATTAGGTAGTAGTGGTGACATACTATGTATATATGAATTTTGGGGAGTTGAAAGCTCTAGTTTGGTTTTGGTGAATTGATGAAACTCTAAGTGCTAACCTAGTTTATCAAAGTGATTATGAGATAGGTAGCACTACTCTAAGTTGTGAAACAAATGAAGATCATGACATGATGATGGTGATGCCATGGTGATGATCAAGTGCTTGGACTTGAAAAGAAGAAAGAGAAAAATAAAAGGCTCAAGGCAAAGGTATAAGTGGTAGGAACCATTTCATTTCGGTGATCAAGACACTTAGCGAGTGTGATCACGTTTAGGTTCGATAGCCATACTATTAAGAGGGGTAAAACTCGTATCAAAATACGATTATCAAAGTGCCACTAGATGCTCTAACTCATTGCATATGCATTTAGGATCTAGTGGAGTACTAACACCCTTGAAAATGATTGTGAAAATATGCTAACACACATGCACAAAGGTGATACACATTGTGTTTAGCACTTAGGAGCAAGGGTTTGAAACTTCACCGATGGTGCCACCGGCGTCCTGTACAGTAAAGATAGGGTTTCACAGAGTGCACCGAACATGTCCGGTGACCAACCCTAGGAGTCGGTCAGTCAGCAGAAACTGACCAGACTCTGAGAAGAAAAGTGACCGAACTCTGGCTAAACACTATTCAGCATCCGGTCCTGCTGACGTGGCAGTGCACAGAGAAGAAGGTGACTAACTGGACGCTGGGGCGTGTCGGATCGGAGGTGACCGGACGTGTCCGGTCGTGAAAAACTGACTCTGGATGCTTACTGAAAGTGATCAGACGCCAGGTGTTGGTGCGTCTGGTCCTACACTGTAGCGCGTCCGGTCACAACTTAAGTTCACCAATGACCATTGAGATCACATGGTGGAGATTCAAAAGAGGAGACACGTGGTGAGCATCGGGCGGCCGGACGTAAGGGTCCAGCGTCCGGTCAACCTGACCGGCGCGTCCGATCAACCCGTGTTTCGGTGCTCTATGAGCCCAATGACTCTATTTGTTGGGGGCTCTATTTAAAGGCATGTGGCCGGCTTTAGCTCATTCTCTTGGCCATTTGCATTGACATAGCAATCTTGTGAGCTTAGCCAAAGCCCTCTCACTCATCTCCATCATTGATGTATCATCTTTGTGAGATTGGGAAAGAATCCAAGTGCATTGCTTGAGTGTTTGTATCTAGAGGCACTTGGTATTCGTGTTTCATTGCGGGATTCGCTTGTTACTCTTGGTGGTTGCCGCCACCTAGACGGCTTGGAGCAGCGAGGATCGTCGAGCGGAGGTTGGTGATTGTCTCCGACTCCGATCGCAGTGATTGTGAGGGGTTCTTGACCTTTCTCCGACGGAGAGTCAAAAGGTACTTACGTAAATTGCTCGTGGCTTGTGTGATCCTCATCTTGTGTTGGTTGTGCAGCACCCTATTGAGGGTTTGGCGTGTGATGCCAATTAGCGCGTGAACCTCCAAGTGAGTGAATCGTCACAACGAGGACTAGCTTGCCGGTAAGCAGGTGAACCTCGGTAAAAATCATTGTGTCATCATTTGATTCCGAGGTAATTGGTCTTCATTGGTATTCATTCTTGTGATTGATTGGTTCATTCCTTGACTCGGCGGTATAACCATCTTGCTCTCTCTCTTTACATTACCGCAAACTATTTGTCAAGCTCTTAGTGTAATTAGTTGTGAGAGTTTGTTAGTTTGGCTAATGTGGCTATTTAGTTAGTCTTTGAGAGCACACTAACTTAGTGTAGTGACATAACCATTGTGTGGATAAAGACTATAGAAACTAGAATTATGATAGGTGGCTTGCATTTCTAGTAGGCTAGCGCAACACTCGCTTCGTCTTATATTTGTCTAACCGATTTGCTAAGTGTTGTTGTATAATTTTTAATAGGCTATTCACCTCCCCCTCTAGCCATTAGGACCTTTCACCGCTGTCCGTCGTTGCTGTGGCCTGCTCCATGTGCTCGTCCACCGCCCGCAGACGGCCTGTCACATCCCCAATGGTGAGGGTGGACAAGTCCAGCATCGTCTTTATGGAGAGAGTGATCTGGATGTACTTTACTGGCACGGAGTGGAGAAACTTGGAGACCGCCTCGTCTTCGTCGATGGTGACGCCGTGGCTCCTCAGCTTGCTGATGAGCGACTGCAGGTGGAGGGAGAAGTCCTCCACCGATTCACCATCCTTGAACTTGAGGTTGGCGTTCTCCTGCTTCAACAGCTGGGTCGTCGCCTTCTTTGCGTGGTCGGAGCCGACGCGCATCGCTGCAATGGCCTCCCACGCCACCTTAGCAGAGTTCTTTGCCCCCAACGGCTCCCTGTACTCCGCTGGCATAGCAGCGAGGATAGCCTCCAACGCTGACATATCGTCTTCTTCGTTGTCGGTGCCCTTGTCAATAGCATTTTAGAGCCATCAGCTCTGAGGTTGACCTTCATGGTCACCGCCCACTCGTCATAGTTGGTGCGAGTCAGCGTCGGCCAACTGGCGCCGCTGACCTCTCGCACCATGCGTACGACGACCTCCTATCGTGGCTGGGCAGCCACAGCAGCACCGCTGCTGTCGCCCATCTCCAAACCGTCCGTCATCGCCAGCGGTTGGTCCAGCGATGGCGCTTGTACGGCTCTGATACCAGTTGTTGGCTCCTGGATCTCCGAAACGGGTGAGCCAATCGCTCACCAGCGTTGCCGACCATACACTATGGCTAGAGGTAGAAGAAGGGAGGGTGAATAGAGCGCGCACACACACAGCACAAACACCAGCGTTGGCCGGAGCTCTGCAGAGGAGATGGCAAAACTGAACTCGTTCTGTTTACTGAGTTGCAGTGGAAAACTATATATACAACTCTACCCATCTAATCCTAGTACACAGACATGTCAGGCTGCCATGCTGCTACAGTGACTAGATGTGACAGTAGGGCTAACTTTGACGCATGCCCCTGCTGTAGCTACAGTGCGGCAGAGGAGCTTTTCGACGCCTGGCCCTACAACAGTGCAGTAGCTATGAGCCTTTCGACGTCTGTCCCTGCCGCGTGTTCATAGAGGGAAACAGCAGATTACAGTCAAGGCAGGACGGTCGACTCCAGGAACACTGTGATTATCATGACCTCAAACATTGGCGCTGAGCACCTCCTTGCCGGGATGGTGGGCAACAACTCGTTGAAGGCTGCCCGCGATCTGGTTATGCTGGAGGTATGTAGTAAACGTTGCACCTTGCATTGATGTTCTGTTCGAGCTGTTGTCATCCTGCGTTCTGATCCTGAAATGAGCTGGTTCGTCTGCAGGTGAGGAGGCATTTCCGTCCCGAGCTGCTGAATCGTCTGGATGAGATCGTGATCTTCGATCCCTTGTCCCATGAGCAATTGAGGATGGTCACTAGGCTGCAGATGAAAGAGGTGGCCTACCGTCTTGCTGAAAGGGGCGTTGCCTTGGCTGTGACTGATGCTGCATTGGACTTGATCTTGTCACTCTCTTATGATCCGGTATGCGAACACATCAATGTAAACTATTTATCGTTTATCGACATACTACACTATTTTTTGGGTCCTGCTTATTACCCCATGGATTCTGACTCTTGCTCATCCTTTGTGGTTCAACAGGTCTATGGTGCCAAGCCCATCAGGAGATGGATTGAGAAGAGAGTAGTGACGGAGTTGTCCAAGATGTTGATCAATGAAGAGATAGATGAGAACTCCACGGTGTCCATAGACGCTTCTCCCAACAAAGATGAACTGACTTACAAGGTCGACATGAACGGAGGACTGGTTAATGCGCAGACAGGGCAGAAGTCTGACATTCTGATCCAGGTTCCTAACGGAGCTATCAACGGTGGGGCAGCACACACTGTGAAGAAGATGAGGTTGATGCAGGATGATTAGGACGATGATGACATGGAAGAAGAGAGACCGGGAATTTTTGCGACATAATTGTAGATAATTTTGACCTGTTCGGCTGAATTTATCAGCCGGCTGCTGCTGCTGCAGCTGGGTAGTTATATTGTACTGTAGATTTTATTAGCTGCAGCCTGCAGCCAGTAGAGATCTAGTGCTTCTAGAAGCGACGAGAATAGATCTATAGGTAGAGATAGAGTATAGATGTCCATGGTCGAAGAGTATAGTGGAACAAAGTGATCCAGTATTGAGGCTTTGGTTTGTCTAGACAGAGAATAGACAAATGTTAACTTATTATTTTTTTAAATAAAAAATTGAAAGATCCACATGCAACATGTATTAGAGGCTTTGCTAGCAGATCATGAGGTTGATAAAGTTACCGTAAGTACATTGTTGTTTTTGATAGTAGATCGTTTACCGCTAAGTGAATAAATATTCAGAAATGCAAGCATGGCATCCACGCCGGCGGCTCGTGCTAACTCAGGAAAAAAGAAATATATAATATGAGGTACTCCGTATATTCGACGAAGGAATATCACATTACCACTGCACTAGGTATTTTTTTGAACAAAACACTATACTACATGTCTACAGAATGAACAACACTATGAGCTCGATCACATGAGCTATGTACACATTACAGGCGTGTAATTACTACAGTTCTACAGCCTCACATTGAGCTGGGAAGACCACGTTGATTCACTGTAGCGCATCACGTATATATATCTGCCTATACATCACTACGACGTGTATGTATACCTTTTCCCGTTCAGCCGAAGGCCAGGAAACCAGCAGACATCTTCCTGTAGTTATTATGCCCATGCATGTCTGCCGAGTCGGCACGCGCTGTGGAGATGTGAGCAGCAGAGTCGATCGATCTGCTAGTGCTAGGCGTCGTCTGAGGTCCTAGGCACCCAGCAGCAGTGCAAACCGTAGGGCATCGCGTACGGGAACTTGGCCCGCGTGATCTCCTGGAACGTCTTGGCGTCCAGCACCAGCGCGTAGGCCGATCCGTCCTTGGCGCTCACCATCGAAATCGCAACGCCTGCGGCCAAAGTTAATATATTTTCCAAACATGTTAACTATTAGCTGTGACACGCCCATAGGCCATATATCTAGGGACGCATCGCATTGCATGCAGTGGATGTCAAAAAGTAGGTCCGGCGGCGATTGAAACACTAACCGTCGTCTTCCTCAACGGCGCCGGGGCGCGGCACGAAGAAGGGCTCTGACGGCACAGCGCCCTCCTCGTACCAGTTCTTGGCCGTCTTCTCCACCAGGTCGATCTTGGTGAGGGTGTTGGGGAAGTTGCACGGCCGCTGGGCGCCGCAGGCGTAGGCGTACTGGTACTTCTTGCCAATGTGGGCCGGGTTGATGCTGCACATGTCCATCCCGCGGCCGTGCTCGTCCGGGTCCAGCGCCGACTCCAGCTCGCCGAACGGGCTCCCGTCCAGCGGGATCCTGAACCGGCCCACCCTGTCGTCCCAACGAATTAACACGGCCTGTCAGACTCAGACACCAGCCATTCCTCTAATCTTAGCAGTAGCAGTAGCAGAGCAGGGTGGTACGGTACCTGGCGTCGGGGAGGACGTCCTGGCCGGTGGAAGACCGGAGGTTCTGGAGCCGGAGCTTGTCGAGGATGGAGGTGTTGGCGTTGTGCTCGCAGCAGTCCGCGACGATCGCCGTGACGCGGCCCTCGTCGTCCTTCTCCTCGTACGCGTTGATGAAGTGGAACGTGACGTACGGCGGCACCTCCACGCTGGCCACGACCCTGCCGCTGGCCTTGCACATGACGTGCATGTAGCTGCCGGACTCGAGGTGCCACTCGAACTTGTACAGCGGGGTGGGCTCCGCGCGGAGGAGGTTCCTGGCGCAGTACCGGAGCGGCATCTCCGGCACGACCACGTAGTGGTCGGTGATGGGGAACGAGTGCACCCACCCGGGCGCCGGCCCGCCGCGGCAGTCCACCCTGCCGACGAACCGCCGCTCGTTGGTCCCGGCGTCCATCCGCACCACCGAGTAGCCCGGGCGGATGAGGTCCGGGACCAGCGTCCAGAACTCGGTGTCCGTCACGATGGGGTGCGCCGAGTGGATGAGGCCGCCCAGCTTGTCCGTGTACTCGAACTTGCCGAGGGTGTCGAGTGTGTCCGGGTCCACCACGATGGAGCCCTTGATGGTCTCCGTCAGGCACAGCACGCGCCCGTCGCCGAGCCTGACGACGCCCGTGTTGGAGTTGTCGGTGAGCGAGGAGCCCGAGAAGAGGGTGGCGAGCTGGCCCACGTACGAGAGGAAGCTGTCCGCCTTGGGCACCTCCGAGAACTCGCGGTAGCACACCTTGCCGTGCGCGCTCGCCGCCTTGTACGCCTCCGACTCGATCTGCCGGTGCGCGCCCACCGCGTGCCCGTCGCGGAACGAGACGCGGACCAGCGTGGCGTAGCCGTCGAACAGGTGCCGGAAGCCGTAGTCGCCCAGGTTCCACAGGCCCGGGCCGTTCCTCAGGTACGTGCCATCCTGCAAACAGCAGGTAATAATTAATGCACAGATTACAATTATATTAGCCGATAGATCAATTATTGGCTGCGCAGAAAATCCATCGATCGATGTTTAATTTACCAACAAGTTATCCACATCATGAGCTCATCATCCATAAAAGGTTCGTCCACATAGTTAAACTAGCTAAACAATTAGACCGAAGATTAGTACAATATACGCACAGCCTATCATATAGTGTGAGTATAAAGACTAGCAGGCCACTATGATCTGCAACTAGCTAGCCGTATTGTATTGCGCGTACGTACACACCGGCTTTCATTTCTGCAGGTCACTTTCAGAATAGCACACGCACATAGAGTCAAATGGAGTCGTAGGAAAGATAAACAAATTAGGACGAACAGTGGTCTCATAGCTTGTGCAGCTGTGGTTAGGGGACAGCAACAAGGTTGTGGGCTTGTGGCTACGTGCGGCAGCCCTTTTTTCTCAAAGTATGTTGCAGGGGACTGGGGAGAGCAAACAAATATAAACAGCAATGATCACAAGACAGCGACTCCACTGTCGCCGCTGCCATGAGTAAAGCAACAACAGAGAATCTTGGTATATATGTTTTGTTCCCCGCAAGCATCGTGAGTGCCAAAATGCCATCGCTCTCCTTTTCGATATAGGCCTTGTGCGGCGTAGGGTAAGTCAGTGTGTCGCCCTCGGGTTCATCGATAAGATCACAGCTAATACATGGGCAAGTGCTTCTCCAACAGCTGATCCAATGAAAACTGACAGTTTGCCCTAATATTACTGTTCCTGCCCTGCTAGGTTATTATTACGTTTCTAATCGCTGGCTCAAAAAGATGTACATACCCTGAATACTTTGCTACGTATATGTGCTTTAGTTTACCTTTATTCCTGTGCACAGATGTTTGGTCTTTCCTGCACTAGCTAATTGGGATGCTTCTACGATGAAAACGGTCAGGTTAATTCAAAAAATTATTTTGTTATTATTCAGCAGTATATGATCTGGTCTAAAAGTGCTTATGCCAACTCCCTCCCTTTCGTATGTTATTGTTAATAAACTGTTTTTTCTTTCTTTTTTGGTTGAGGAAGATATGCTTGCCACACCTTTGCCTGCATAAATATATTAGAGGTGACCTAAAAAAAGTGTCAATTTGTAGATACACGGAGCGGAGTCTTTGAACCAAAGTAACGGAAAAGATTCAGATTCTCTAAGAAAAAGCATGGCTAACATTAGCTTAGAACACTGGCAAAAAATGTTATAAAATGGGAGAGGTTATGGTCACTTCAAGAATCCTCAAAAGAACTACTCCAGTTTGCACAAAAGTCATGTCGATCAACTCTTTCGGAAAACAAAAGCCAGAGATCAAATCAACCACAGCCAAATGAATAGTAGTGGTACCCACCAGCCAGAGCGGCAGCTCCCCCTCCAGCTCCAGCGCCCCCTCCCACCTCTCCTGCCGGATGCTCTTCCACGCCGCGTGCTCGCCGGTGCCGCGGCCCCCACGGCGGCGCGGGGCGTCGACGACGGGCCGAGCCGGCGGGGCCGGTGCCGGCGTCGGCGTCTCCGTCGTCACGACGCTAGCTGCGAGAGGCTGCACCACGGCCCGCTTTCCCTTGCCCCCCTGTGTAGTGGACAGACTACGGCCAGGCACCGCAGAGCCACCGGCCGACGACGGCCTGCCGGTGGCGCCAGACATCGCTGCAAATACGCAGAACGGCGAAGTCACAGTGGGAGACATGACGAAAATGCTCTAGCTAGGGTTGCAGTACCAGGCGGGCTTTTGGAGCTAACAAGGAAAGGAGAGGGCCGGTAGTAGTAGCTCGCTAGCTAGCTAGCTAGAGCACGGTGCTAGCCGAGAGTGTGGTGTGTACTGCTAAGATTTGGTTTGGTTTGGTTTGGTTTGGGACGAGTTCGTGCCCAGGTCAAGGCCATATATATAGCCGCGCCGGAGGAGGCAACGGGGTGGAATCTTTGCCTGGGCAAATTCAATGTGCAAAATGACGCGCTCCCTTGTTTGGCTTGCGTTGTCACGTTGCTGGCTGTCGTCGCCGCTCTGGCGTGTGGTTTCCTCCGGTTGGTGGGCCTCGTACGTATGCACATTTTAATTTTAAGTCGCCCGTAGACCACTGCGTGCGCGCGTCTTTGTCGACCCAAATTAAGCGTGTGCGTGTGCGTGTGCGTGCGCGAGCGAGCGAGTGTCGGCGGCAGGCGGCGGTGATGGGGGAAAACCGCTACCTGGTACATACGGTTTGGGCTACGCAACATGGCGCATGGAGCTGTCGGAGTGCACGGTTTTACATGCCGATATGGGTGTAAATCATGGATAGCTCCAGAGAGCTTATGTACGTACATTGTGGGAGCAGTGGCGAATCTAGGATTTTGTCTCAGGGTATGCCGTAAAAAAAATTTCATATATAATTCGGTAAATCTATTTCAGCAATTCGATAATAATTATAAAATTGACAACATGATTCGGTATATATGC